GATCTAAGTCAGGGCATGGCTAACTCACAAAAGTAACGCTGAAACAACCTCTTGGCTGATCTAAGTCAGGGCATGGCTAACTCACAGATAGAACCCTGAAACAACCTCAGGGCTGATCTAAGTCAGGGCTTGGCTAACTCACAGAATGAACCATAAAACAACCTCTGGGCTGATTTAAATCAGGGTACAGCTAATGTTAGTCTAATACCAAACCCGAGACCCAACACACTCTACTGAGATATGATACATAGTCTAATACCAAACCCAAGACCCAACACACTCTACTGAGATATGATACATAGTCTAATACCAAACCTGAGACCCAAGAGGTGTGACGCTAGCACACTACCATCACAACACCCTTGATTCCCTTAACATAGAGAGAGTACAGATCACATACCCCAGTTCTCTGAACGGTACATCAAACTCTACTTGTCCATGAGTTAAACCTTCAACTTTATCGATGAAATTCTTGAAGACAGCTTTTAGACGCTGCCTCATTTCTCTCTCTGCCTGTCAATCAAACGGTAAAAAAAGAGCATCCAGATTTAGTCAAAGTGATTTCTGTGGCATGCATTGACTACCCTGACCACACATTGTGTGGTAATCTTTTAAATTATATTATAAGATTTGACCAGACAAGTCCCAAATCTGGCACAGTATTGTCTGATGATTGGCTTTCATTTTAAGCCCTGATATAAGCCTGCAAATTAGCRCTGCACATTGAACATTTCTCTGATAAATTTGTAGTTTTGACTGATGACTCTGACCAGACTCTTTTGTTGGGATGTGGACTATGACAAAATATGCTCACTCTAGATTTGAAAAGATATTGCAAAAAAAAGATTGCAAAACTAGAAGCAAAACTTACAAGAATATACTGCCAGGGTCAGAAATTACGAGTGAAAAGTGAATTCAATCAGTGAAAAGGACAGTAATAGTGCGACAGGTAACAGACGACATGTTGTAAGAGGTTTYGCCTGACAGAATAATTACCATGGGGGTATATAGCATGAAGGCATTTTTTTCTTTTTTTTTTTTTCAGTTCCAGTATTTGAAAGAAGCTTTTTTGGCTGCAGGTCAGGACAACCCTAGTCCCAAATCTGACATATGACAACCTTCTTGCAAAAAAAATATAATTCCTTGTTGATATAGGGAATACTGTTACTCAGTAATGTTGGATTACCTGTTCAGCCTGTAAGTCATCTCTGTCATGCATGTGTTGATGTTTCCCAAGATCAGTGGTTATCTCTCCAACCTAGACACAAAGGTTAAACAAAAAATAAGGTTATTAACAGGGTTCGTGCTGAGGTAACCACTTGAAATTCAATAAATTTTCAAGGAATATATTCAGCTAACTATGCCAAGGTTTTACAGTGGTTGCATATGGCCAATTTTCAGATTTTCCAATCTCTCTGACTAGATCTATTTCAGAACCATGCAAGTAATGATCAAAGCAAAAATTCAAGGAGTTTTCAAGGAATTTAAGGAGTAGCACGGGGTTTGTGCTGAGGTAACCACTTAAAATTCAAGGAGTATACAAGGACCCAAAAATGAATTTTCAAGGAGTATGTTCAGCTAACTATGCCAAGGTTTTACATGGTAGTTGTATATGGCTGACTAATTCAGATTTTCCAATCTTTCTGACTAGATCTATTTCAGAACCATGCAAGTAATGATCAAAGTAAAAATTCAAGGAGTTTCACTAAGATCATAAAATTCAAGAGCTTTTCAAGTGCGCTTGAAAAYGTGAATTAAATTCAAGGAGTTTTCAAGGAGTTTAAGGAGTAGCACGAACACTGTATTAAGATCAACACTCTAACAAGTAAACTGTGTTTCATGACTTTATGAAAACCACTTCTGATAATAAAGTTTTGCTACACATCACATACCTCTGTATAGAATTGAATATCTCTGTATTTCTTCTTTCCTATAATGATCGGGTGCTGCAACATAAACAACATTAAAGACTGTTAGCAGAATATTTTAAGACAATTGATGAAGCACGCTGCCAATGAATCATCTTTCACCACTGTTGCTTGTTTGAGTCCTGCGGACATCACATGTGAATMGAGTTTGTTTGATGTTCCGGTCTCTCCCTTTCCACTGCCCTGGGTTTTTCTCCAGGTTCTCCAATTTTCCTCCCTCAGTAAAAATCAACATGTGAACCAAAAGTTGTGTGCATAAAGTAGTAAATGTAGTGGCAGTGTGTGGTAGAGTGTGAGTGAAAGCASGCCCRTATCTGCGAAAGCTGCCAGAATAATCAGCCTGCTCTAACAAATAAAATATTATTATTATTTATTTATTATAGATATGCACATAGGAAATTAGTGTACAAGAATTAATGAGAACTGTGAAGTGACTCACGCAACTTGAAAACAGGAGTAAGGTATTTTATTTGATACGAGGATGTAACTGACCTTGAGATGAAAGTGTATTAGAATAATCATCTCTCCATCACAAGGCTAGAGAGAAAGAACACATGACTTAGACCTTGGAACCAACATTGCACCCTCTATATGTTTTGGGTGAAAATGCATATAAAATGAAAGGATGGATGAGATGGATG